CCAGCCGTAAGTTCCACCATATTAAATTTAATTTGCTAGTAATATTGTTTGATTCCTCCAGCCTGGCCCGCCTGGCCGCCCAGTTGCGCCTCCCCTTGCCACCCGCCCAATAAATAAACCATTACATAACCGAACTGCGTTTCATTGTCCTCTGTGACGTCATCGCCCCACTGGCCGTGCTCGGCTCAGTGACAGCGCGCGATGAGCGCTCTGTCACTTATCTACGTCCGTCATTGCCTAACCTCAAAAACACTTCCAAACCAGTGGTTCAAAGGGGCGCAGCACCATGTCGGAGGAGGAGCCCCGCAGCAAGGTAAGCCCGATGCACGCATCAGCGGACTGCTTGTCAACAAACACCGCGTTTTAGAGCCTGATTATTTTCGGGCGCGACGTGTCCCAGATCCCGTGCTTTCGCAACAGCTTCCTCTACGGCACATTGGGGGGCATCGGCTTCGGCCTGGCCCACTTCCTATTCACCAGCAAAGTGGCCAAGTCGGTCAACTACTCGGTCTATGCCTTTTCGCTTGTCACTGTGGGCTTTTGGATGCAATGCCGGTAAGTTGCGTTAGTTTGGAGGGCTGATATTGCATTTATCGTTGTTAATTTTGCAAAACCCTCCCAACCGGTCCAGGCTGGAGAACTCGAAGACCAAGTTCGAGATGATGCGACTGCAGCAGCAGCTGCAGGAGCGCGCACTGTTCGAGGGTTCCCAGCGGGACCCCGACCGGGCCCCAGTCGAACTGGTCGAAGTGTAGTAGTAGATAGAATAAACAGAGTCTAACCTTAAGCTAAACGCCTTCCGCCAGGCTCCTGATCAGTGCCCGATAGATCTCGACGCCGCGCAGGAAAACCGTGCGGTTCAGGTGCTCGTTGTCCCGATGCAGCCCCATTTCGGTGCCTGCCATCGGCGAAAACCCCAAAGCGGGCACTCCAGTGGCGCGCAGAAATCGGGCATCGGTCCCCCCGGGACACACCTGCGGCCGCAGGCCCAATCCGCTGAAAAAGCACACCAATCACCGCAACCGGTTAGTAGGGGAAAAGAAATTAAAACAAAACACCCCCAACCAATGAAAACCACAAATAATATTTCAAAAAGGGGCGAAGCCCTAGACTAGCCGGTGAGCTCGCGCAGATTGGCCACAGCAGGGATGAGGCGGGCGTAGATGCGCACACCCTCCAAAAACACCGCCCTATTGAGATACTCGTCGTGGTCGTGCAGCAGAATGGGCGTGTTTTTCATGGGCGAGAAGCCGAGGGCGGGGACGCCGACGCTGCGCACGAAACGGCAATCGGTCCCGCCCGGGAAAATCTGCGGCCTCACCTGCAGCCCGCTGCAACACAACTGTGACCCCAGCAACGCACCAAAGGGGCGGTACTTACAGCTCGTCCATGGTGCGCTTGAAGGCCAGCCAGTAGGGGTTGGAGGCGTCCAGCTTGGTGGGCGTGACCTGCGGCTCCTTCTGCTCCCACTCCACCCAAATGTCGCTGCCCGCTTCCTGCAACCACTTCTTCACTTGCGCCTCGAAGGCGGCATCGTCCACCGTCACTGGCAGGCGGCAATCGACTGTCGCCACCAACTCGGGGGGGACCACGTTCGATTGGACGCCGCCCTGGAAGGGGGCCGATCAAATAGGGGCTTGCCTCCCACTGTCTCCTACCTTGAGCTGGGTCAAGTTCACTGTGGTGACGTCGCCTAGGGTGAGCGTCGGGTCGCCGGCCAGTTTGAGCACTTGGCTGCGCCTGAACTCAAACAGCGTGTTGAGGAACAGGGCGACCTTCTCCCCCGCCGTGTCCTTGAGGAGGAGGGAGCCGTGCCCAGGCGTGCCCGGGAAATGGATGACCAAATCTAAAACACTCGCTGCACTCAAAACTGCACCTCAAAGGGGGGCGCAAGCCCCCTTTTTCCCACTCACGCCAGATGTTCCTCTCGCCATAGAACACTGGAAAAGCGTCATCGGGACTGGCCATTCCCTCGTCCAGGGCAAAGCCCACGTTCAGCCCCTTGAAGTCCTCGGTATGCACAAACTGCCTCATCCCGTCCACTCCGCCGATTTCCTCATCTAAAACCAATCGCGCAATTAAATCGCGCGTCAGCAGCCGTAGGGCGGCGCCCCACCTGGCATAAAAGCCACATGCACGGTGCGGCGTACCGTCGCCCCAGCCAGGCGCATTCGCCTTATTGCCTCCAAGTACTGGATGCCCACGCACTTCATGTCCTGCGCCCCCCTGGCGTAGATGTTGCCCTGGGCGTCCGTGTGGGCGCTGAACGGCGGATGCGCCCACTTGTCCTGCAACCGCCCGAATCAGGCCAAGTCAAAAAAGCGGGGCCCCGATGACTTACCGCAAACACGGGCACCACATCCATGTGGCTGTTCAGCAGGATGCTGGGCAGGGCGGGCTCGCTGCCGCTCCACGTGATCACCACAATCGGCTTGCCCTCCACCACTGTGTACACCTTGAGCGGCAAATCCAGGCCCTTGGCCTGCGCCCGCAGGAACTGCACGCACGGTTCTGGAAAAAACACCCCATTGAGGGAAAAACACCCCGTTGAGCCCCCCAACGACTTACCATAGTCCACATGCGGATGCACGCTGGGGATTTGGAGGTATTTGCGAAAATTCTCCACTGCCAGCGAGTCCAGCGTCGCAGCCTGCTCAGCGGTTAACGGCGACATGTTCCAGCTGCAACAAGCAGAGCAGGCGCTCAGTTAACGTTACACAGCCCTGCAAAAGGGCCGGGGCCCGCAGGTCCCCAAAAACAGCCCTAAAACCCCACTTTTTGAGGTTATGTACGCACATTGACCCACAATTTGTCAGGTGCACTGCGTCGTACTATACAAACTTAGAGCTCGGCTGTCGAAGGCCATGGATGCTCAATTGGGGCTCTATTCGGGAAACAACATTTCAGGGCTACACTCACAGGGAGTTTTGTCAAGAAATGTCAAAAATTTGGCAGGTTATGTGCGGGTGCAAGGCGCGTTGCCATGGGGATAGTGGCCAACTTGGACTATTGCCCCTAGAGGATAATGCCGGAAAACCATGAAGCCTCTAGAGGCGCACTGATTGACTAATTGACCAACTGGGGGGGGCGCAACTGATACTCACTTGCTCGACTGCACTGTCTCAACTACGCGCCTGATGCGCCTTAATGGGGCTTTTATTGCATTCGATTTGGGCGCGTTATCACGCTGTTTTGATGTGCGGTTAACAACTACCGGCCATTATGATTAAGATAGGAGGGAATTGAACCAACCACGTGATTTTATCTGTGTTGTTTGTCGCATTCTTTGGCGGGTTTCCAGCCCCCAAACATGCCTGCGAGGGGCGAGCGCGCGGGGAGGCGGCCAAAACGAAAACAAACACAGGGAGGATGCGTAATAATCGCAAAGTTTGTCATTGCGATGAACTCGGCGCGGGATTTTCCAGTGGATATCCGGCGTCGAGGGCGTCACGACGCCCCAATTACTACCGTCAGTTCGCTGCTGCGTCGCAGCAAATCATTAAAACGTGTGCCATTCGAGCGTCGATCGCTCTACAAGGCTGATTTGATCCACGCGTGTGGATTCACGGTGCGAGTTTTCCGAGTTCGAGTTTTCCGTCTACGCTGGGGCGTAGAGTGGACGCAGCGCTGCCGGTGAAAAAGCAGCAAAGGCGTTTTTCGATTGAGGCCCGATCCGCAGCCCCGCCCCTTGGTCATGTGGCCGCTGGTATAGTTTCCATGTAAATCACCGCCCCCTTTTTGCACACCTAAATCATTCAGCATGCGTTTGTTTGTTCGGTGGCCACGCCCCTAGTCAATAGCCGTCTCGCTTCCACCCCGCACCCATCGTGTGTTGTTTCCAGAGTGGTATCCAGGCAACGGCGGCGGCGGGTTCGATGGCATGGAGGTGGAAGTCTCCCCCTCCGACGACTCCGCACTGCTGCCCCCTGCCGACGAGGCGCCCAGTGTCGGTTAGTGTGCTGCGCACCCGGCAGCGCCGCTCGCACTTAACGCGCTGTTGCCCCGTTTCCAGATGTTGCCAGTCCGATGGTGACGGTGCGCGTGGAAGAGGCGGTCCTTGTCGCTCTCGTGCTGCTGCTATGGGGCGGCGCCATTGCGCTCTTCTTCAAGAGCTGGGGCAAAATACGCATGCTCGAACCGTACCAGCCCAAATTCCATCAGCAGCCGCATCGGCCCTCGTGTCCGCTCGGCTCCCCCACTGCCAGCAACACGTTGCCGCGCGCGCCGAAAGGCATCACTGTAAGTCACACTTTTTTTTCACACATCCACGCGTTCTGGATTAGTTCAGAACAGAGTTAAGGAAAAACTTTGAAACCAAATCCAAAAATGCCCTAAAGCCAACCCTGTCGCGCCTGTTCCGAGCCCATTCCACTGGACGTGCCGGGCTAGTGCGGTCTTTGTCTGATGCATGGCCCATTGTTCTGCCATAAGTCGCAACTGTCGCTCGCAGCCGACAGGGTTGGACTGGGCGTCGTTCTAGCTGTGAAATTTTGCATGCGTAGAATTAACCGAGAAAGGGGAATTTGCAGCAGCGAATGTCCTTCTCCAAGTACAACGTGAACGCCCTAACTGATCCCCTGTCGATTCTGCCGTCGCCCATCATCAAGCGCCCGAGGCGCAGCTCCGTCTTTGTGGGCAGCGCGCTGATCCTGAACGGGGCGCCCAGGCGCGCCAAGTCGGCCACCGACATCCACTACGTGGGCGCCATGGATCCGCGCTCCTCCACCTCGCTGACCAGTAAGCGCGCCCACAATCCGCACATATTTTTCGCCAAAAACCGGCTTTTTGAAGGTTCAGTGGTGCCGATCATCAACCGCAGGCCTTCGCTGGCGGGCGATCGCCCCATTTTCATATCACGCCGCCGTCCATCGACCACCATCGAAAGGCTCCATTTCGTGCCGAAGGGGCGGCGCGCCTCCTGCTTCGTGGGCGCCCACCGCCCGTTCAACAGCTTCGAGGCGGCCGCCTCCCAGCCATCCGGACTGGCGGTGCCTGTGAAGGGGCGCTCCTGCGGCAGGTGGGCGCAGCCCCCACAGCCCCCGGCCCACTCCAATCTGACTGTTTTCAGCTTCGTCAATCCGATCATCAGCTTCGAAATGGCGGCTCGGCCGAAGGCCTCGCGCAGTTTCGAGCAGCCGGGCATCATCAGGGCGAAGCCCGAGCGCCTCGCCGTCAGTCTGGACGTGGGCAGCTCGTTCAACAGCAGCAGGCGCTGCTCCATGCCGGGTGGGCGCTCGGAGGAGACACGCGCCACTGAGCCCCTACTGGAGGCGCCAGCCAATTCCTGTGGACCATATCTAGCCTAGGTGAATAGGCGCCACTATGGAGAAGTATTTTTATATAAGCATTTTCCTGTAATTGCACCTGCCGGGGCGGCGCCCAAAGGGGGGTCAGCCACTTATCTATTGCTCACTCCACCTGTTCTGGCTCAATTGAGGGACCACACGGCCCCCCTTTCTGTATTTGGGGGGCAACCGACGTCCCCCGGCCACTCTAGTCCTAGATCCTTGAAATTTTAGTCCAAACTATTGTGATTAGCCACGTTTCCTAGTCTAGCCTAGTCGGTTAGGAATGTTTATATTTACATAAATATCTATACTATACAGATTTTATTAGAATTGTGGTCCAAACAGTCTTCCGTAGTCACTGGATTTTAGCAAAAAACTCGTTGATCTCTCGTAGCCGTAGCTGATGTATTTTGGAAAAACGCACTGAAAATCTCGCAACGACCCCAACCGGTGTTTACACCTCCAACCTGGGCGTGGTCAGGCTGTCACTTCACTCCTTCACTGTCACATCTGACAGTAGTTTGTTGTTGATTGTCAGATGGTGTCGTTGAGATCAATGACTAATAAATAAATAAGTAAAGTGTGGAGTGTTTCTGAGCAACAATGTCCCTCTACCCGAGCCTGGAGGATATGAAGACCGACCAGATGGGCTGCGCCCCATTTCCAGGGCTGCCAACGCAGGCGAGCCCAGTGCTGGGGACGGTGTACCCCGCCCTGGAGCCCTACATGGGGCTGGAGCTGAGCGAGGAAGTGATCCGCCTCAACATGCCCGAGTACAGGCTGGCCCCGAGCGGGGGCAGCGCCATGGTGGCCCCCCTGAGCGGCCAGTCGTTGGGCCTCCAAAAGGCCCAGGTGACTAACGCGGTGCGCCAAGTCGTCCTGTGCAAGGACAAGGACAACAAGGTGGGTCCTCTAGAGCCCCTCAATTCGAGTCTCATTCGGTGCCTTGTAGATCGGGCTGCGCCTCAAGGAGGTGAACAAGGGCATTTTCGTGGCCCTGGTGGTCAGCCAGTCGCCCGCAGCCTTGGCAGGGCTGCGCTTCGGCGACCAGATCCTTCAGATCAATGGCATCAACATGGCCGGGTTCTCCATGGAAAAGGCCCACGATCTGCTGAAGAAGAGCGCGCCCGAGGCCATCGCGATGGCGATCAGAGACCGACCCTTTGAGCGCGCCATCACTCTCCATAAGGACAGCACCGGCTGCTTGGGCTTCCAGTTCAAGGATCAGAGGATCAGCGCGCTGGTTAAGGACTCATCGGCCGCCCGCAATGGGGTTCTGATCGATCATCAGCTGCTGGAGGTGGACGGCCAGAACGTGATCGGCCTGAGCGACAAACAGATCAGGGACATTATTCAGCAGGCTGGCAACGTGGTCACCATCACGGTGATGCCCCGCTTCATCTACCAGCACATGGTCAAGAAGTAAGTGGGCAGCGGGCTTCTGAGCCGTTGGTTGAGCGTTTCTGATGTTTCAGGATGGCGGGATCGCTGATCAAGGGCCTGATGGACCATTCCCTGTGATCAGGCCTCCATCGCACTCTTATCTGGTGCCATACTTTTATCTCTTCCTATCGTGTAATCGCATTTATTTTGTATCGCCGCTGGGCACTTTAGTGCACTATGTTATTATCAATAAATACTTGATTTTAATGTGAGTAAGACAAGGAGAGGCATACCTCCAGTTTGTCTGTCTCCTTTTTTCGGGCCAGGGGCCTTGGGGATGTAATTTTTTTGGCAATATCACGCAAAGCTGCGTTGAATCGGCAAATTCCTCGCGAGATAATTGAGGGAAAGTCCCCGAAAACTGATAACAGTAGAATGAATTCCACCTACCTGCCCTCTTCCGGCTGATGGATGCGTCCAGCGGCCCCCTTGGGGCACTTGGGGGGCGCGCTGCCCCCACCGGCAGGAGCCCCACTCCAAGTCCGTTTTCCGTCGCATTGCAACAGTCCTCACTCCAGGGGGTCCTCCACAGCAGCCCTCAATCGCCCCATTCAGGGGCCGACCGGGCGCCATTTTGTTAGGCCATGTTTTCCTTCGCGCAATCAAAACAATGCTCACTCACCGCACGTTTGCAACGCTCGTGGGGCCAAAGTACGGCTTATCAGCCCGAATCGGCCACTGGAAAACGAGGCGGCGGGCCCCAGGGGCGGTTTGAGGCGGGTCTTGGGGGCTGTGCCCCTTTCATTTGGCGGCACCGGAATGTTAAAACCGATCGGTTTGCGTTGCCATGTGCCGAAGGCATTGACATGTTTGGTTTCCGTGGCGCGCCCACCAATGGCAGCGCCGCTCGGCCGCCACGTGACCACCCGCCGCCAATCAGCGCGCCCCATTTTGAATTCCGTTTCGTCTTCGTTGTGCGGCCATAGTTCAGTGGTGTCATTGTTCCTGTGTTGTTATTGTGATGATTTCATGGCGCTTTTAACTGGATCCTGGCCCTTTATTCAACTGGAACGTTCCGTAAGTGATTCCGAGGGTTTTCTGTCTGCGGGGCAACGCCGTGTTCTGTCAGC